ACGAACTGCTCCCAGCGGACTGGGTCCTCTCAGACGCTCAGAACGCCACTCCCTTCTGCTAGTCAAGGAGAAATGCCACGGCAAGACGAATTGACTGAGAGAGTTAAGACCTTCTCACTCTAACTTTTTAAGCTCAAATCAGTTTGAAACTAAAGTCTCTAACAATGTGGCTTCATCCTATATTTATAAGAGAAAATTAATCCTTGAACTAAGAGTTGACTTTCCCAAACCATGGTTAACTTTGCTTGGGGCAAGACAGGTGATGATACAGCCTGGGTAACTGGCTGAGTGACCGGCATAATCCCGTGGCAGACGCCCAAGGACAGCCAGGATCTGCAGGGTCAGGTGGCGTCATCAGCAGAACCAGCAGTTGCAGCGCTGATCCCTCCAGGCTTATCTTCGAGGTGGATTTCTCGGGCAACTGGCTTCAAAAAAAAATCTTCCCGCACTTACAGCACCTTCGAAATGCCGGTTGACCTCGGTAAATTCATTTTGCTCAGCAATCTCCTTATGTCACGGCATTTTCTTTCCTCTTCTCCTTGCTCTCAATACATGCACATCATCAGACAAGTACATTTCCCATAAAGTAGCACCGCTGTAAAAATAAAATGCCATGGCAAATCGATATCCACCACATACAACTAAATGCTTCTAAATGCATCTACATGGTCCTAAATGAGCCTTTAAACACTCAATAACTTAAATTAAAAGGCCCCAAAATGTGGCCTTTTACGGAGTTATCACTCGTTGCAGGTTCAGACATGCAAGAGATTATAAACTTGAAGCAAAAATTGTCGAAGCAGTTTGCAATGAAAGATCTGGGCGCTGCAAAGCAGATTCTTCGGATGAGGATAAAGAGAGACACAAAGTCGGGGACTCTGATGTTATCACAAGTTGAGTACATCAACAAAGTACTCTCCAAGTTCAACATGCAAGATACTAAACCAGTAAGTACACCTTTAGGTGTTCATTTTAGACTCTCCAAAGAACAGTCACCAAAGACGAATGAAGAACGTGCATACATGGTGAAGGTGTCGTATGCCTCAGCAATTGGAAGTCTGATGTATGTCATGGTTTGTACTAGACCAGATATTGCTCATGCAGTAGGAGCTGTTAGCAGATACATGAATAATCCGGGCAAGGTACACTAGGAAGCAATCAAATGGATCCTCAGATAACTGCGAGGTACCACGAACAAAGCACTTTGTTTCAAAGGTGGAAATACGATACTGACAGGCTATGTAGATGCTGACTTAGCTAGAAATGTCGAAATCAGAAGAAGCATTACAGAGTATGTTTATACTCTATGAGGAACTGCAGTAAGTTAGGTTTCTCAACTACAGAAGATAGTTGCTCTCTCCACAACTGAAGCAGAATATGTCGTTGTTACGGAAGTCAGCAAGGAGATGGTTTAGCTCCAAAGTTTCTTGGAAGAGTTAGGCAAGAAACAAGAAAACAATGTCTTGTATTGTGATAGTCAAAGTGTTATCCATCTAGCGAAGAATCCGTCTTTTTATTCTAGGACGAAGCACATACAATTGAGATATAATTTTATTTGGTCTCTTCTGGAAGATGGGATTTTGAAACTTGAAAAGATTAGTGAAGCTCAAAATCCGACAGACATGTTGACAAAGACGGTAATTACGGACAAACTGAAGTTGGCTCAATTGAAGCCTAAAATTCGAGCTTGATTGAAGTGAAAGAATAGTTCATTCAATGCTCATCAAAAGGCTCCATGATTTTGAATGCCAAATTACCTCTATTATTTATAGAAGTTAGTTGTGATGCTCTTCTATGTTTCTTAACAATGTGGGATTGTTTTGTTCTCATATTTTACTCTTTAGACTTTTGGAATGCTCTTCTATGTTTCTTAGCCATGTGGTATTGTTTTTAAAAAAAAAATTAAACAAAACAATATCATTTTGTTATGATTTTTTTAGCCCCAAATTTATTTTTTAATTATAATTATATAATTATATTTATTATTTAATATGCTTTGCCTTAAATATTATGTTGTAATTAATTTGAATCATTTTGTTTCACTTGATTTTATGATTTTTAATTTATATATGTTATAACTTACTTTGAATATGACTTGTTATGAGATTCCCAGAGTTTTAAATAGAAATACACAGCAGCTGGCTAGGTTTTGTCATTAGCTTTGTTCATAGTACAATCAAGTTGGAACAAAAAACAGCTATGGCGGATAAAACAAAGACATACTCATGCTGCAGCCGGACTTTAAGCACCTTGAGCTTTAAGAAATCTTTCAAAACTTTTCGAAAATGCCTCAACAGAGTATTCTACAAATTCCTCCTATTGTCACAAGATGAGCATCTGCTTAATTATCTAAAGTGTAATAAAGTTACAAGTTTAAATTTCTCTCAAGATACCTGCCTCATGGGGCACCGATTGAATGCTCCCAAAGCTTCTGGGTAACAAAAAAATGCAACATATGATGCTCTTGCAAGCCGACACGGGCTCTAGAGCATCTCTCAACAACTTACACTAGATCCTGAATGAGACATCCATTAAAGAACCTCCTGAGCCTTCCCATAATACCTGTTTATGAAAGGAGACTGCAAGAAAGAATCACAAAACATCCAAAGCAAATTAAGAAATTTGTCAATCATATTATTATATTCTTAATAAAATTAGTAATGGGGAATGGAGTATGACTTGTTGACTCTGCAGATTAAAAATATAAATGTGACATTCTAAATCCTAAAGATGATATTGCTTAAGCATGATCTTTGTGGACAAACGTTACTGAAGATGAGCTCTTAGACTGAAGAAAAAATATTTTATTCATATATTCATAAACTTCACAACATGGAGACAATGAGCTGGTTATGATTTCATTCTAATACAAAAGAACCGATTATGATTCAATACAAATTCAATGAGTGACATGGATATTAATTGAAATTTATCAAGCTATGTTTGCATTATAAGAAACGTCATGAACTAGTTACAACCACCTATGTTACTTGGACAGTCCAAGTTAGACTTGAGTATAAGGTGGTGTTTGTTTTTACAGAGATAAAAGGTCTGCAGTCTACAGACCACATCTGCAGGCATCTGCAGCGGAAGAGATAGACTAAAAGTCTGCAGTCTGCAAGAAGAAGACTGTTTGTTTTTTAACGTCTGCAGACTGCTAAAATGAATTGAAATATAAATAAACTGATTTTTTTAACTTAAAAGAGTTTTGCAATACTGAGATTTAAATAATTTTAGTTTTACAATACTGAAATTTAAATAATCCATACAACTACAATAATAAATTATTTAAAATAAATCAATACATATTTTAAAATAAATCAATCAATCCATACAAATAAATTATTTAAAATAAATCAATCCATACTAATAAATTATTTAAAATAAATCAATCCATATTTTAAAATAAATCAATACATACTAATAAATTATTTAAAATAAATCAATCCATACAACTACAATAATAAATCAATCCATATTTTAAAATAAATCAATCCATACTAATAAATTATTTAAAATAAATCAATCCATATTTTAAAATAAATCAATCCATACTAATAAATTATTTAAAATAAATCAATTCATACAACTACAATAATAAATCAATCTATATTTCAAAATAAATCAATTCATACTAATAAGTTATTTAAAATAAATCAATCCATATTTTAAAATAAATCAATCCATACTAATAAATTATTTAAAATAAATTATTTTAAAATAAATCAATCCATATTTTATAATAAATTATTTTAAAATAAATTATTTTAAAATAAATAATCTTATTAAATTATTTAAAATTATTTTAATAAATAATTATATTTTATAATTGTTCTTAAAGAGGTTTGAAGACATAAAATCAAGTCTGCACCAAGAAGAACTCGCGCAGACGTTTGAAGGGCTTCTGTCTTCTAAAAAACAAACAGTCTGCGAAGCCTAATGTCTGCGCGTGATTTGCGCGACGCAGACATAAGTGGTTTGAAGAGCTTGCACAGTGAAAACAAACACCACCTAAGTGTCTGATAAAGGTATGTTTAAATTTTTTCCAAGTTTTTACATCTTAGTTTTTCCATGCATTTGGAGGGTCATATCACCATACCGATATCCAAATGTGTAGAACTCAGGCGCCAATAATCATACATCTAGAATAATGAAAATTTGATGCAACATTAATAACCGTCATTAGAATCTACCTAGAAGTCACGGTTGTTACGTTGTATCTGGCTAAAAGGAGATGTAACATGGCAAGAAACAGGAGTATGCAATTCATTCGATTTCCTAGTCCTATAGAAATATAAAACATGACTAATAGAAAACGTAATCCAACAAGTTTTAGAATTTTAGAGATGCTGCAGCATATTTAAAGCAGACCATGTGATTAATTTTATCATTGATTAAATAATCCCACAAATGAAAAGAACTTGATAAATTATGCAACAAGCTCCAAGAACAAGATTACTACCAATAAAGAAAAAACTGCTCACATAAAAAATATAAATAACCCTATCTAGAAAATAACCAGTAATTCAGTACTCACAAAACAAATAAACAGTAAATAATTACATCAGGAGTAAGTCATAACACCTTACCTTCACATTTGATACATCAGGAGCATCCGGAGTTTGAACAGGGTAGAACTTGTAAAATCTCATATTCTCAAATGCTGCTTTAGTTTCCTCACTCATTTCTTCAAGGGCCTTTTTGCGGGCTTCTCTTGCCTGCAGAAATGAATTGCTCGAATTACTCATCATCCTGGCCAAAATATATTTTTACAAATCAAGATGCAATGTTACCAATGATATACCTGCCGATTAGCTTTATTTGCTTCTCGAATTTTCTCTTTAACAAACTCCTACAAAATCAAAAGCATGTCAGGCTGAAAAGCAGTTATAAATACATGAAACCACAATTAATTGGTGGATATTCAAACAACTTCACCTTAAAGGCATCCTTCTGATCTTTATCTAATTCGTCTTCCTTGATCAATTTATCAGTAAACTCGTGCGTATTGGTAGATATAATTTAGACAGAAATTCCTATTACAAGTAAATAACAGCCAAAGACTGAAGTCCACAGCAAGAAACTGAAACTGAACAAATGTTCATATAATTCAAACTTCACAAAAGATCATCCTAATTAGACTGTAACATAAAAATGGAAAGAGTTAAGCTTACATCAAGTTCATCCAACTCCCAATCAAATTCACAAAATACCTGCATGAGCAGAAAGGATGTATTAATTTATATAACACTTTGCAGAATAGCTGCCTCAGTTATCCATTTGAAAATGGTTATATGCATTTAATTGAGTAGTCACCTAGACACTAAGGCGCAACTAAGCCTAGAAAAGTACCTCGGATCCTTCCCAATCAAGTACTTTATTAAGGTGCAAGGCAAAGCTCAAATAAGCTCCCTTTCTGTTTTCTCCTATTTTCCTTTAACAAGTACATATTTTTTTTTGATAGGAATAGAAGGCCTCAATAAAACCCCCTTCGTGATTAACGGAACTTAAAAATAGCTCCTTAATCCGCACAAGGAGGGAAAGAGTGCCCTAGGATTTCATTAAACTCAAATATAACAAAGTAATACAAACTAATCTCCCTCAAGAGATACAAAACCAGAAAGAAACAGCCCTTAACAGAACATAATTCAACCAATACCAGCCTTAACTAGGACATCCGCCTCTATATTGGCTGTCCTACTAACCCAACTAAAAAAACCTTCATAAACACTAAGCTTTTGAATAATGTCTTTAACAATTTGAACATAAACAACAGGACAAGAGACCACATCCTTAACCCAGCCAACTGCCACCTTACTATCACTCTCAATAATCAATCTATCTTTAAACCTATGACAAATAGATTCATAAAAATCTAAACACTTTAGGATAGCCTTCAATTCCATTAAAGTTGGGGCCCCCGGACCAGCAGGCTCTTTGAAGGAGCCAAGAATCGAACCAGACATGTCTTTCAAAATACCACCTAAACCACTCATCTTCCAATCACTCGAAGTAGCCGCATCCACATTAAGTTTAATAAAACCTTTTGGAGGAGGGGACCAAGGAAACATGGTTGAAATCCGATTAGAATGGGACGAGTAGGAATCCACTAAGGAAGGATCATCAATAAGATCATCCTTGGAAATAGTAATATGAGTTTCCTTAGCTAGAAACCATGAAGCAAGCCTACACCTTGCTAGAAAGAAAATCTCTGCTCGATCAAGCTTCCCTCCTTCAAACACTATAAAATTCCTGGTCTTCCAAATTGTCCATAAAACAGCTCCAGGGATAAATGACCAGATAAGAGAGTTGGTCTTCAAGTCATTCCAAGCCAATAGGAATCTTTTAGCATCTGCATGAAAAACAAACTGAAAATTCCAATAGCCCAAGAATTTCATCCAAATTGGCCAAACAACCGAACAGGAAAAAAATAAATGCGATGAAGACTATACTAAAGTAATGATGATGCTTAATCTTTGCATGAGGCAAAGGTGAGTTAACTTCTAAAGATTCATCAGAGCATCTATACTAAAGTTTACAAGCATAAAAGATACAATAGTACATGTGGAAACCTCAGCCTCCATAAGGTTTGAACTTTTTTTTTATAGGAATTGGAGGCCTCGTTAGAAACCTCCTTCATGATTAAAGGAACTTATATATAAGCTCTTTAATCAGCGGGAGGAGGAAAAGAGTGCCTTAAGATTTCATTAATCATTAGAAAATACAAGATACAACCTGAGAGCCACCCCCAACATAAACATAACACCAAAAGCAGCAGCAAACAACCCTAAACAACAACATAGACTCAGCCTAATCCAACTTAGAAACAACATTAGCCTCAAAAACAGATTGACTATACTAAAAGCCTAAACGTGGCCCGAAAGACGCCACAAAAGAAACAACGATAATAGAAGATAGCAGCCAAGTTCTAACACAAAAGCCAAAAGCTTCCACATGAAAAGAATACAAAACAGCAAGCACATAACCGCTTGTCTGCCACTTTAAAGTTGTCTTGACAACAGAGACTGCAGTAACCAATTTGTCCATGCTGCTGCACAATACCCCACGCTGCCCATACTCTGCTTTTCCAGCCTATACCCTGCTGTTTCTGCACTAGCACTCAACTAATGCTGCACTAACTCTATCATGCTGCAACACAATATAACAATAATAAAGGCCAAATAAACCAACTGACACAATCCATAGTAGCCAAAATCACACACCAAAGCCATGAGCTTCCACGCTAACAGTTGAACAAAACAAACTTCAAACAAACTGTAATCGCCCTTCTGCCACTAACTGCTCAACTTCACATCGAAGACCCTCCGAACCTCCAACTCCATAAACAGAAAACATAATCTAGTCCCCTAAAAACTATTCAGAACTTAATGATTCTGTCAATACTTCCAGTGCTACAATGTTCCGTAACAAAAACCACTTGTAAGCCATCAGACTCAAAACCCAAATCATTCCCGATCTTTAAGCAATCTGTCGCTTCCTTCTTTTGAGTCTGCTACTTTGCTCGAAAATCAGAATCATATAAGGATCTACCTTCAAGTTCGGGCCATTCTTCGTCTCGATGCACCTTACTCTGGTATTTCTTGCTACGGCAGTCTTGGAGAGAGCTGAAATTTTTGTTTTTCCCCTTCTTTGCTCTCTGGTTCTGACTTGGCTCGCCCTTAGAATTTTTGAATGCACAATAATTTGTGAGGCCCACATTAGTCACATCATCCACCACCTTTGACTCTACCCGACCATCCAACATGGGGAAATCTAAAAAATAATCCGTAGTACCCTCAAAAGCACGTGCAGTCTCACCACTTTTCCTAATGTCATTTTCTACCTCTCTCTCCGCTTGGTCCAGCACTTCCTCAAAATTCGTTTGTACCATCCCCTGACCAACAACCACATTCCTCAGACCCATAATTAATTCCTCCCCTATGTCCCTATTCTCCTCATCTTCACCCAACAGGTTGTTGCCTCTAAATCTGTTCCCCAAACAACATAATAGACTGTCTTCTTCCTCGGAAAACCACTCGAAAATATTCTCCACCGTTGAGTCCACACTTCTCCTTGCTTCCTCAGCACACTTCTCCATCGCGGAAGGCAAAACTGGCGAGTCACTAACAAGTTCCCCCACCATGGAAAACGGGTAGGAAACTCCCTTATCCATCAAGGACGAATCTACCCAGACAGATTCTAGGCTGAAACAAGGTTCAAACTCAGAAACATAAACTGTATAGATCCGTTCCCCGACTTTCAAATCTATGTATTCTTCCACTCGAGCTTGACAGTTCGTAGATATCTGAAACATTGCCCTATCAAACGAGCCTGGATATAATGTCCCTTCCTCAATGGAGATAAGATCTCTCCATTTGTCTGCAATGTTTTTGAAGGTGGAATGACTCCACACCAACGGTGGGATCCCTCTGCACGAAAGCCATGCCCGACGACTGCTGCACTGGAAGTTTTCCGACCACACTTCCACTTTGTCAAAGCAGTTTTTTAACGCCCCAATCTGATTATTAAGAGCATAATCCCTACTCTCTTCATCTTCCAAAAAAATTAGAATTGTTAAACTACTTAACCTCATAATTTTCGAACCTAAAATGCCTTCCTTTTGCATAAGAACAATCAACTCTTTCATTTTTGAAAATTTTCTGCACCCACCTACCAAGCTATTTCTGAGAGTGAAGAGCTTGTCCTCGTCAACAACACCGACAATGGGAGCCTCTTGAATGCTTCTGAAACACCACATTACTCTTGGCCTCAGCTAGTTTTGGGCCAGCAAGCTTCTTTCTCCAGAAAGCTTCACGAGGTTGAAATCTCGCCATGAAAACTCTAACTATATTCCCTTGAATCCTAGATCTATCAACACAGTTGATAGCCTTCCTCGCGTCCTCCAATCTTGTGAAACGAACAAAACCAAACCTACTTCCTCCCTTGCTTCTTTTGTTAGGGATGAAAGAATCAACCACTTCACCATATCTATCGAAAAATTGCCAAAGACCTTGATGATGAAGAAACTCTGGAATATTGAAGATGATCACCGTAACACAACTTTTCCCAACATATCTAATCACCTTACTCGCCATAAGTAAAAAAATAAGGTTTGAACTTCAAAACTCTAAAAGTATTTGATCATTGGAGTGTCACACACACACATAATACATAAGTACGTATGATTTTGTGTTAATAAACATTTTAGCAATTAGCTTTTTACTCATGGGAGCACCTCTATTTCAGCCTTGAGCATTAAAATAGAGGCTCCAACTACAGCAGTGAATGTAACAGTTTCATCAAAACATGTTAAAATCAAACCCTAAAATCAACTCCACCCACTCATTGATAACCAAAAAGTCCAGTGTTAGTAATAACTAATTTCCACAGTAGATACAGAAACTTTACCGGCTTTCGTTCTGCTGGAAAAATTATTTGAACCTCAGTGCTTTGTTCAAGCTCATCTTCCTTCAAAGGCTGATAGAAATCTGTCAATGGAGGCATGCCAAACAATTTGGCAATAAATAAAGGTCCTTTTTCCTTATTGGTTTTTCATATTTTACATAATATGTGGGATCCAGAGATATCTAGATAACTTACATGGCAAACAATACTCATATTTCTTGAGACGATCTATTTTCATCTTTTTCAAAGCAACTCTGCAGAAGGAATTCCAAATACAAAAAATGTTAACCAAAATACATGCATGCGTTAGGAACACACATATACTCCACATTCAGAGAGAGAATATGTATGATCTAGATAAAGAAATCTAAAGCCCGTAGGCTTGCTCAAAATAATTTTTCAATCTATACAACACAAATTCATAAGCTAAAGTAAGTGTCAAACAATCACCTTGGCTCATAGTTAGTGGACATTAAATAGCCCTTTATAGACGGAAATTTCAGTGGGAAGCCACATATCCAGAAAAATCCAAAAGTTAGAGATACATATTGATAAGAAAGGGCTGAAGACTCTGTGAGTGACCACAAGTTCTATATTGTAATTTTCAACAGGCATCAACACATCATTCAGTGAATTGTTTGCAAAAATAAGCAAACCCCAACCAATACTTGAACCCCCATTTTTCCTTTTGGTTTTTTTTTTGGGGGGGAGGGGAGGGTGGGCCGATTCACAATATACAAGTCTAAATAAAATAGCAGTTTCTTTAGAGAAAACCAAGCAAAGCATAAGTGACCAAAGTTAACAATCTCATACTGGAAGAGTTGAAATAAAGACACGGTGATTGACTTACTCTAGTTGACAACCTCATGCTAAAGAAAAAGGGGGGAAATCATTAGGAAGGATAGTGTGCACAACTGTACCTTCTTTGAGTGCAACTTAAGATGAATATCTGAGATTTCAGTCTATCTACTTGGCTGGCTCTGTAGAGGAATCAAAATGTACAAATCACCTCACAGTTCGTTCTAGGTCAATTCATACTCGAAAGTAAACAGAACAAAAATAGATGATATTTCAATTTATCAGCTTGGCCAATCATATGGATGAATTAAATTAAACAACTCATCCATATGAACTTTAACTCTGATTAAAAAGATAGAAACTGAGTACCTATTCTCAAGTGGAATGTATGGAACCCAATCCATTTTCATTTGTTTCATAGGAACAATCTCTTCAGCTTCTCTCTGCACTGAGTTAATCCCAATCTTATCTGAAGGTGGGAAAGGAGAGACAGCCTGAAATGAACCAGCAAAAGTCAAAGATTATTCAGTAAGAAAATACAAGATCACAATGGAAACAACTACTTTAAGCAAATTAATCTCATAAACCATAAAGACAATAATGACATTGCAGTCGCAAAAATAACAAACCACTGCTAAAACAAGTATTCATTTATTAATTATAAAAGAAAACTAAATTGAAAGAGTATTTATAACTCAACATTTTAGACTGTTGTTAATTTGATCCAAATTAAATAAGGAAAAATAAGGTACCCTTCCATCAAAAGAAAATATAATAGATCGAAAAGGCTTTTTGCACTGATAAAAGTAAATCATTTCACATGTAGTTTGAGAGGGTCATCAAAAGCCTAATGTCTAACAAAATCATGTTCACGCCTATAGAGGTGAAGTGAATAGATAACTTCAAATCCACATAAAGATACTGTTCAATAAATCTTCAGCATAAAAGATACTGAAATCACTTTGACCATTTCTCACAAGATAAAAAAGAAAGAAACTCCCCTTGAATTGACTTAGCATGAAAAACATTAAAAGCACTTCACTGCCATGTTGGACAACTTACAGCCACAACCACGGGGATACAAATGACTTTGTTTTCTCCATTGTAAGGGACCAATTGCGCTGCACAAAAGGAAAAAGACTAAATTAATAAGTGTAATGGATGGGCAAAAAGGACAAGGTCAGAAGAAATTGAAACTTCAATGTTCATAAAAGAAGCTTATCGGAACTTCGCACAAAACAGGAAACCACACACACACTTTTTTTTCTTCTTAAGACAGTATAAGTTAAATAAAAATAACATAAACAATGCAGCCAATGGCATAAAAAGCATGTTTTCCCTCGAGGAATTGAAAGTTGTCTATATAGAGGTGTGAAACACAAGAGCCAAAGCTGTGAACTACTTACGCTCTGTGCAACCAAAGAGATAAGCCTTCTTTCCATATAGCTTTCCCCCCTCTTCAAATGCATCCTGACCAGAAACAGAACAGTATAAAATCATGTTAGCTTTAAATGGGGAAAACGAAAGCAGCAAACAAGGAACTAAAAATGAGAACAGAGAAAGCAAAAAATATGCAAGTTTTTTCAACTGACTTCTAGATTTGAAAAGTTCCAGTTGTATTGGTAAACAGTGTCCAATTGATCCCACTGCCACAACAAAAGAAAAAAGAAACTATAAGCAATAGAACTTAAATTCATCAAAAAAGACAAACCTAAAACAAAAACTAAACATGCCAAGCTCAAAATTCCAACCTCTGTTCCAACAGGAAATGCAACTTTCCATAAATCCTCCTGCACAATGCAAATTGACAATTTTCATCAAAAACACAAAACACATAGCAAGAACCTTCCTCAATATCATCTCAAATAGTAATTATCCAAACTCTAAATTTGCATCCATTTCAGCTTTAATCTTCACAAGAGAAGGCGAGCGTATCACAACTCAAATTTGTAACCATTGCGTAGCCAGAATTAACAGTTCAAAATTCAAATCAGGAAAGGTCAACGGATAATCTAAGCCTTATAATGTCGCATTTGTTCAGATATTGAATAAACCTAAACAGTGAAGTCATGAAGAAAAAAAAACCCTAAAGGCAAACTTATTTGGCAAAATAACAATAAATTCAAAACTTCACCTTAACCAACTACAAAAATAGAAAAACACAAGGCAGAGAGATCTTATACCAAGTTACGCGTATCTTCAAAGTACTCAGGTTCGGTTTGAGGCTTGGAGGTCTTAGCACGCTTAGCTTTGGGAGCAGGTTTATGGTTCTCCTCCTGATTCTGGTGCGAAGCTTTTACTTGCGTGTCCTCTTGTTTCCGAGAGGCGGCTTTTCTCTTTGCTCCTTTCCTCATTTGGTTATTACCAAGATACAACAACAAAACAAACAGATAACAATCAAGGCAACGGCAACGAAGATTCGGTTGAGTGTTCTAACGGATGAGCTTTGTGGATTTTCCTTCCTTTTAATAAGCGTCAATCCAACGCGGTGTCGGCTTACCAAATTTTGAGGGTTTTATTGGGGAGAGGCGGGGACGAGGTAATTAAAATTCAAGGGGCTGATTGAACCGATTTCAAAAGCTTTATTAAAATAATGCAAATCCTCAGCTTACGGTCATTTTTGTTTGGTATCTGTAGTTTTGGTTATTTGGGATTTGGACTAAGCCATCCGTCTACTTTAGTTGGATACTAATTTGGCATCAGTGGAATTTTATTTTCTAAATAATGTATTTTAGAATATTGCTATTTAGTACATTTTTTAAGTAAAATTATATATTTTTTAAAATAAATAAATTAGTGATGTTGTTGTAATATATCATAAATTTAAATACATTAATCTCTTGTTAGTTTTAAATTTCAGAGTTAAGTTATTATATAAAAATAAATAATATAAAAATTAAAAATATTCTGACTTTTCTTTTTTTAAATAAAAATTTTAATTTCAACTAATCACTTCTATAATTTAAAAATATTATCGATATAAGTTACATATTTATCAATTTCCTAAGAATTGATATCGATACCTTATTAAATGAACTGTTCCAGAAATTTTAGTGTAAAAATATTATCGATATCTAACAATGACTATAAATAGCTTAAACTTTGGAGCATGTTGTGGAAAACTAGACTACCACCTAAGTTTCAGCTCTTCAATTGGAAATTCTCCCTTAAAGCCCCACCTCCGCGGAGATATGAACAGCACATCACCCAGCTCCTTCTACAGTTCTACCATAACACGAAAGAATCAATCAGTTAAGCATATCATGAGGGAATGCGCAATCACTCAAGGCTGGTGGAGAATAATCCTGGAACACAACCAACAAACATCTTAGAAGCAATGACGATTGTTTTGTTTGGGGGGGGGGGGGGTGGAATGACTCATTGCAAGTTTGGATCACAAATACCGTGGTTGTTGGTGTTTTGCAAATATGGTTAACACTCAACACTATTACCTTTGGTAAACCGATGGACCTTAATGTCCTCCTCAAGCTATACAAAGCAGTTGAATTCTTTGCTACTGTATTCCAAGTAAAAATCCGACCTTTGCGTTGTTTTGTTCTGGTTGGATGAAACCCCTGGAGGGGTGGTGTAAACTCAACACCGACGGCTCCTCCTTCAGGGATTTATCATTCGCAATCACCTTGGCAAGTAGATAATAGGATCATTCCATTCGACACAAGAAATGAAAGAAAAGTCCTACTTACTGAGATTCTACCTCCTGGGGTTGGACATGGTCAAGCTTTACTCTGAAATATCAACTTCAAAAGCAACTCCATTTAAATCAATAATCTAAAACTTTACCTCTTTAAATTTCGTACTTCAAACAAACACTCAATACATAAGGCTTAAATATGACCAAAAAATGCAGAAGCTTAAAACCCTTCAATTCCCAAAAATAATACAATAACAATTAATTGACTACCACATGCCATTCAAAAGCAATAACAGGGAAAATTCATAAAAAAAAAACTCGAATATTTTGTTTTCTTATTAACCAGTCAGCCAGGCATGTTGACACTTGACAACCAAGATAACAAAATTTTAATTAGTAACAAATGCCATAGACCATAGTACATCAAGAAATACAGCTGACGAAGTCTAAGCAACCATAGCAGGTGCAGCAGCAACTTGACCTGATTTCATGGAACAAAAGAGATTCAAGACATCGGCATTGTTGCGAACATAACTTGGGCATTTTGATAATAAATCTTGTGCTTCATTTTGCCTTGCAGCATTAAAAAACCCTTCAAAAACACGAAGAACAACTGAAATGGATGGAAACTTTTTCAATGTCATAGACTTGAGGAATGCAATAGCATCATCGCTACTGCCGGACCTCGAAACATACTCGATGAAGGGATCCACAAAGGGTGGGAAACCATCGTTTTTCATCAAACCCAAGAGACTCAAAGCATCTTTAAATCCACCCTGAGTTAATAACTTCCTTATCAATTCCTTATAGGTGTTATGCCATGGTCTTAACTGATTCTCACTGACATACCTGTGTAGAAGTTTGCATGCATCCATTGCTTTTTTCCTACTGCAATAAGAATATACCAACCATTCAAAGGCATAGCCAGTATGTGAGATCCCTTCTTTTTTAACCATAGTTTCAAAATAAGTTGATGCTGTTTCAAGATCCCCAGAGGCACAACACCCTTCAATCAAAGATGCCCATGCCTTGTGATCTAGATCAGTATTTGATGCTTCAACACATTCTATAAACTCAGCAGCCTCATCCTTCTTACCCGCACTAGCAAGTCTAAAGGTAATTTTAGACTGCAAATTGCCACCGGCTACAAACCCGTGTTCCTCCATTACTTTTAGAACCTTGTTGCATTCTCCGAGTCTACCAACACTAGTCAAAGATTTGAGAACTGAATCGGCTATGGAATCTGTCAATACATTCCCACTCTCCACAAAAGTCCTTACAACTCTTATAAAGAGACGCATGTTTAATTGTTTACTCACCACTAATTTCTTCAGCAGAAAGGTAGTACAACTCACAGAAGGCTTACTGGAACCAGCCATTGCAAACTCGTACAAATCTACAGCTTCTTTGATCATCTTCTTCTTACAAAAGTGATCAAAAACCTTTGTATAAGTCTGATTCTCCATTTCATACCCAAAGTTCCTCATTTCATCAACAACCTTCCAGAACCTATCAATGCAATCTTCCCTCCCCAAAGTCCTCGCCACAGCATTATAACTCTGCTCATCATGCTTCACAAAACCACTCTCCTCGGTCCATCTGAAAAATATCAAAGCTTTCGCCGGCTCCGAAGCGAGATTTTCCAATACCTTTTTCACCAAATCATTTGAAAATGTAACATTCAAATCAAGCAACTGCTTCTCAACATCATCACCCCATAAATCGTTCTTAATAATCTTAGAAACCCTAGAGCAAACCTTTTCGATTGAATTGTCAGTTGATCCAGAAGCAAACACCCCTCTTAATCTCTCCAAATCACCCTCCAACCTTTCTTTCTCAAACTTCGAAGCAACTCTGTCACGCACGGCACCAGAGATACCATATCCTTTCTTCTTCATGACATCTACTAAACCCCAAAACTCCTCAGTCAATCCATTGACACCCAAAATACCTAACATCCGATTATACGACTTGGAGCTAAGTCTCTCCCCATCAGTCTCCAAAACCCAATAAAAAAACCTCCTTGCCACATCAGGACTAGCCTCTACATTCTTCAACACTTTCAAAATCATTAAATGACTGAAAGAAACACCATTTAACTCCAATTCTCTCTTTATATCATCCTTACCACTAAATCTAGTAAAAATCTCAGTCACAGTACTTACCGAGACATTATCTAAGTCCTTTTGTTCAACAGCTGCCTCGGATGAGAAACTATACCGATTAATGGGAGTGTTATTGTGATTTAAAATGGATAATCCTTTCAGCATGTTGAAGGGGCTTGTGAAATGAGAGCGAGAAGATACGTTGTGGAACGAGGGAGTGAGGCGAGGAGGAACACAAGGGGGGAGTACCTGGGACACGGTGGGAACTCGGAGAAGAGAACGAGGGTAGTTTCGGAAGAGAAGCAATCTCCATGTATGTCTCATCTTCATCACCATCTTCTGGATGCGATCCTTTCCTTTTCTACGATTGTGTTTTTCGGGTCTGAAATTAGGGCTTGGGCAGCAAAAGATGCGAATAAATAGTATTTGTTTTGGGTAGTTCTTTTGTTTTGGGTGCCTTTGAGCTTTATGGTTAGGATTGGATTTGAGTTTAATCGGTTTCTTTATTCAAATAATATTATTTATTTTTATTTAATGACAAAATGCTTCAAAATTATATTTATAAAAGAATACTCATTTTGATTTAATGTGTTACCTTATGGGTGCGTTTGGTTCACGGAATGTAAGATTATCAGTGGGAATGTAAGATTATCAGGGAATAGGATTACTGAGAATATTGTATTTTGTGTTTGGCTGGCTTAGCAGGAATGTAAGATTACCGTGTTTGGTTAAAGGAATAAAATATTATTAGAATGTATATTTGACCAAATTGTCCTTATTATATATTTGTATAATATTATAAATTGAAAAATATTTATATATTTTCTTTAAAAATTTAAATTCATAATATTTATATAAATTTTTTTACAAAATTAAAAATATAAAAAGGTTTAATGAAAGGATAAAATTTTATTTTAACCCTTGAACTTCATATAAAATTTTAATTATATATATATATATTTTTTTTTGTAAATCTATAATAATTTAAGGATAAATTTGTAATTTAATCTTCGTAGAATTTTTATTATTCAATGAGAGAAGAATGATGTTTTTGAAAAAAAAAATTTAAGGACATTTTAGTCCAAAACACCGGTAATCCAATAATACCTAAGGAATGGGAGGTAACGACATTCTCGATAATATACCTCAAAAAATCCACTATTGATAATCTTACATTACCGAGAATGGGATTCTCAGACTAATCAAACGTGAAAATGTGGATTTCATTCACATGAGAATCCAACATTCCCTATCCAAACACCCCCTAAGGGAAAGGTGTATCCAGTCAACAAAAAAGAACAAATTTCGAAAAATATATTTATTTAAATAAATCTTTCGTTTGTGCAATATATCGAGTTAGATTAAACAAATATTTAGTTTATATTAATTGATGGATAATGGTGAATGTCTTCTTTTATTATAATCTTAAATTTGATATAGAATTTTGTTATTAATATTAGTTGTTTAATTACTAATTGAATTATCTGAGAAGTAATATTCGTGGTTTTTAGAACCGGACCGGTTAGTGAACCGATCATGTGTACCGGTTCACTGGTTCAACCGGTCGAACCTGTTCGACCGGTCAGAAGAATAGGACGACGTCATAATTATTTAAAAAAATTAAATAAAAATACCAAAAATATTTAATAAAAAAAATTTATATCACAAGTCATATTCAAAACAAGTCATAACATATATATAAGTTAAAAACCATAAAATCAAGTGAAACAAAATGATTCAAATTAATTACAACATAATATTTAAGGTAAAACATATTAAATAAATATAATTATATAACTATAATTAAAAAATAAATTTGGGGTTAAAAAATCATAACAAAATGATATTGTTTGATTTTTTAAAAAAAAAAACAATCTCACATGGCTAAGAAACATAGAAGAGCATCCCAAAAGTCTAAAGAGTAAAAATATGAGAACAAAACAATCTCACATTGCTAAGAAACATAGAAGCGCATCACAACTAACTTCTATAAATAATATAGGTAATTTGACATTCAAAATCATGGAGCCTTTTGGTGAGCATTGAGTGAACTATTCTTTCACTTCAATCAACCTCGAATTTTAGGCTTCAATCGAGCTTCTAATTTTTTTTTGAGTTTAAGCCTTTTTGAGTTCAAGTTTCAATATTATATTTCAAGTTTGAGTTGAACTTGATAATTTTTAGCTTGTGAGTTTGAGTTGAGCTGAGCTTACTTTTAAAGTTTTCAAGTTCGAGTCGAGCTCAGCAATACTCGAGTTCGACTTAGCTCGTTTAACAAACGACGTTGTTTGGTTTAATTTGTTTAAAAAAAACCAAAACCCGATTTTTCCCGATTTTCAGCCGGTCCGGTTCGAACGGTTCAGTGGTTCTGGCCGATTCACTAATAGCGGTTCAATCAATTTAGATTGAATCGAACTAAATAACAATTCCCGATTAAACCGATCGATCTAGTCCGATTTTCAAAACAGAGGTAATATTTGAGTGTGTCCTGCCCTCCATTGATGGCAAATGGTATTCTCTTTGCTAGAGATAGTTAAACGTGATTTAAGAGGAAGTAAGAAATGACATCATTTAGGTCATCTTCAGTTCTCATGTCTATTTTACAGTATTTTTATCTCTATTCTAAAGATAAAACAGTAATTCATCTCCAATACTATTTCTACATTATTATCTCTACAACATTTATATGTTTTTATGTTTGTTGTAGTTTTTATGTTTTAAAATTAAAAAATCAGAAAAATTACAAAAAAAAAAATTAGTATGTTTATTTATTTATTTTCAATGTATTTTTATCTATCTTGTAAATTAATCTACTTAAATTTAAAAAAAATCAAAAAATTATAAAAAAAAATTGTAACGCAACTACAATGCTGCATTAGATGTGACGTGTATTTTAGCATATCACCGCAATGAAGATGATTTTTAGCGATGGACGGGAGAGAATACTATCTCCAAAGTGGAGCAGTATTGGAGATGACCGCAATAGATAGTGTAGCGCACATGTAGAATGCGCTAGTGTTCATTTGTATAGCTCGCATGTAGAACGCACTACCGAACACTATGGTTAGTTCAATGGTTGACTATAATGGGATATAGGAATGGGATCTGCTCCAGCGTTTCTTTCCCCCTTCAATTTTATTGTATTTTACGGCTGTCAAACTTCCTCTACCGAATGGGAGTCGAGACGCATCAAGATGGAAATAGGAACAACACTGTTGATTTCTGATAAAAGTGTCTATGTTATTCGCACATTTCAAAATGTGATTGATCCTTTTTTAATCCGAAGTCAGAACAAGATAATATCTATTTAAAATATAGTTGATGAATGTCCGATATGGGATTTATCGAAATATTGTGGCTTACTGCATGTCAAAACCCTATTATGACTTATTTGTAAAGGGATGTTTTTATCAAACAGAGAGCGAGTTCGACGAGAGATGGCTTCGGATTCTAGTTGTTCCGTTTGTGGCACTACGGTAAAATCATTATTGCATATTTTTTGGAATCACGTTCTTATGCGTTTGGTCTGGTAAAGCCAGATTTGCTTCAGTTTTTAACGGTACAGATTTAGTATCTTGGATCGAGGAAAACCTTCATTATCCTTTGCATTTTCACGATCATTAGATACAATTGGGAGCTGTTAGTTGGTTATGTGATTTGATGTTTATGAATGCGATTTGTCTGTTCTATTTTGGTAATCAAATTCAAAAAAGTTTGATTTTGAGTATTTTTATTTTTAATCCGATTTATTTTGATTACTGGACTATTGACTCCCGTTATTTTATTGACGTGGCACATTAGTAAAATTAGTTAAATTTTAAATTAATCTTGAATTTTAGACAAAATATTAAATTAACATTAAACTTTATGTAGAATGCTAATTTAATCTAAAAGTTTTATATAAAACATTAATTTAACCTCTAAATCTAGTCAAAGTTCATGTCACTAGTTGATATTCATTATCATTGTCGATTGTTGTCATTGATCATCGTCAACGATCATTAGACCCCAAAAGTTTTAATCCATCTCTTATTTTTCTGTCAAACTTTATCTTAGTATCTCTTTAAACAATTTACGATCAACAATGATTATCGAGTAACAAACTACCGGCCTAAAAAATTTCAAATGTCACAGCTTATGTTGAAAATGAAACCACTTAAGTAAAACAATTTTCAAATTATAATGAATCATTTTAATTATAAAATATCTCACTATTTAATTATATATATTAAGAAGTTTTAAAAAAATCTTAGACATAAATTCAGGCGCACATATAAATTACATTGTTGAACTTAAATTGTGTAAATCACTCAAAAAGTTTTTATAAAAAGGAATTAAATTATAAAATTGATATTTATTGGTCTAACCTTATATTATAGCTAGTTGGACAAAACTCAACTAGACTCGAATAATTGATTTTCTTTTTACTCGACTTTTGAAAAAATTCAATTCAAATTAAATTTGAGTTGTAATTTCATATATTCGATGTTGGTCAACCAACATTTTAAATTTTGGTAGTTAACTTTCGTTAACCCACCCCTTCTTCTTCTTCTCTATATTATTTCTTCTACTTCTTCTTCCTCCTTCTAAAATCCAACCTCTCCAAACACTGTTCAAACAAGACTTTACTCCCACACATCAAAGCATTGCCTTTTCTTTGCCTTTTGTTTTTCCTCTTCTCATTCCTTTAACCATTTGTCCATGTCTGCTGCTCCCTCTTCGAAGTACCTGCAAATGGGGGAGGAATCCTACTTCAAGTTCCTTGTTATTATTGACAACCCTTCCCCCCTTTCATTCAACATGCCTTTCTTCTTCTTCTTCTTCCTTTATTTAGAAAGGGATTTTCTTGACACTAATTTCACTTAAATTTCCATTTTTCTCTGGTTTTTAGCTTTCTGGGGATACCCTTTTCTTTGATCACTCTCCTTTGGTGTTTTGTTTGGTTATGTGGGTGTTTACAGTGAGGTTAAAGCTTTTGTTTTCAAGGAAAAAAATAAAAGAACTTGGGGTGTTCATGAAATTGATTTGAACCATGTAGTGAATGAGGTGGAGAAGACGACTGCAGTTTGCAATGGGGAGTGTGACAAAGTGAACTCTTTGTCCTTTTCATCATCCTCTTCAAGTTCTTCAAACTTAGCATTCACCACCATGTCCATGTTCATCCTCTTCCATTTACTTGGAGTTTTGGCATGCTTGTGTCGGCCCCCTTACTTCACTTCTCAAAATCAGAAATCTTGTTGTTTACTTCCCTCAAGGCCACTTGGAACAAGTGGCTTCTGTTTCTCCTTTGAAAATGTCCACCTTTGATCTTCCCCCTCAAATCTTCTGCAAAGTGGTGAATGTCCAGCTTCTTGTAAGCACTAAATTGTCTTTGCATTAGCCATTAGCTTCTCCCCCTAAAGGTTATAACTTTACATTTTCTATAAAAAAAATGGGTGCTTAAATTGTAGTTTCCTTTTTCCCCAGGCAAATAAGGAGAATGATGAGGTCTATACATAAGTCACTTTACTTCCTCAACCAGAAGTATGTGTAATTCTTATGCTGGTTTACAATTTTTGAGTGTTGCATGATTCTAAGTGAAATTGTGATTTTTTTTCCTTTTATTACTTTTCATAGTGAGTTTTATAATCCTTGTTACGGTTTTGATGACTTGAATGGATTTGAGTGTGGGAGTGAAGTCTCAAACTGTTTGGAGAGGTGAGATTTGAAGAAGAAGAAGAAATAATCTGGAGAAGAAGAAGGAATAACTTGAAGAAAAAGGAGGAGGAGGAGGTGAGGTGGGTTAACGGAAGTTAACTGTCATGTGATCAAACACTAACAGATAGTAATGACAGGGACAAAAATGAAAACGAATTAAAAGTTCGATGATTGTATTGTAAGTTTCAAAAGTTAGATGAGCAAAATGCAAGTGTCCTAAAAGTTTAGGGAATATTTATATACTTTCCCTTAAATTTAAATAGAAACTTGAAAATTTGATTGATTAAAAAAAAATTCAAGTCAATTCCAAATTATAAAATATGATTCGTCAATTCGAATAACTCTAAATTTTTAATTCGACTCGATCGAATGTTCACCCTACATTCTAATAATGCATGTGCTTTTATTCCTTTCAAAGGTTTTTGAGAATGCGATAATAAGTGAATTAGTTTTTAACAAATGCAAGTGGTGCATTGCAGAATTCTAGCGACTTTAACTCGCTGTTACACTTAGTTGGCATTCTTCTAATATTCGATCATGATGAAGCAGATGTACAACACATATGAACGCCATTTATATTTATAGTGATATAATTTGTTTCTTGAAGCTATATCACCTGCGGATCCGTGGCGCAATGGTAGCGCGTCTGACTCCAGATCAGAAGGTTGCGTGTTCGATTCACGTCGGGTTCAAAATCCCGTTCCAAGCGGGTCCAACTATTTTTGGGTTTTTTTCCCTTCAATTTTACGAGTTCTGATCATAAATGACAGCAAAATAAAATCGAAAAGCTTGAAATTATTCCTAATTCTTAGTTCTAATATGTTCTACAAATCCAATAATCAACAAATGAGAATCCCACCCATCCTCTTTGTCATATCACAACGCTTGTCTCCTCCAAGAATGTCTCAAATCCAATGATCTCCTAGCCGGAAAATCAATCCATGCCCGAATTATCAAATCCGGGCTTCAATTTAGTGTCATCTTATTGAACAATCTCATGAACTTTTATTCCAAAACTGTGTGCTTTTCCGATGCTCGCTTATTGTTTGACGAAATGCCGGTGAAAACTAATTTCACTTGGAACACCCTTTTTATCAGCTTATTTCAGACGGAGTAAAATGCTGAAGCTACTGAAATCTTTCATAAGATACCGAATCGTGATTCTGTTTCTTGGAGCGCGATTATTACGGGGTATAATCAGATGGGTAGTTTTGAAAGTGCTATAAAAGTGTTAGATAAAATGATTAAAGAACGAGTAACACCAACGCAGTACACAGTTACTAGTGTTTTTGCATCATGTGCTGCTATTGGAGCTTTAGATATTGGTCGAAAGGTGCACCCTTTTTCTGTTAAATTTGGGCTTAGTAGTTATGATAGCGTAGTGAATTCTTTGTTAAACATGTATGCCACGTCTGGTGATCCAATGATGACGAGTTGTCTTTGATAGGATGGAATATAGGAACACATCGAGTTGGAATGTTATGATTTCCTGTCATATGCAGCATGGACGAGTTGATTTTGCACGTGAACAATTTGAAAGGATGAGTGAGAGAGAGATAGTGACGTGGAATTCAATGATTGCAGGTTACGATCAACATGGGTATGATCTTGATGCTCTATGTACTTTTGGCAACATGCTGAAGGATTCTTTGTTGCATCCTGCTAAATTCACTTATATTAATGCACTATCGGCTTGTGCCAATCTTGAGATGTTGAAACTTGGGAAACAAATCCATGCTCGTATTGTTAGCACCGACTTTGATACGTATGGGCCAGTAGGAAATGCCTTGATCTCAATGTATGCAAAATCAAGTGGGGTTCAATTTGCTCGCAAGATTGTAGATCAGAGTGGTGTTTCACGCCTTGATGTTATTGCATTTACATCTTTGCTAGATGGATATGTTAAGCTTGGAGATTTAAAACCGGCTAGACATATATTTGACTCATTGAGATACCGTGATGTGGGTTGCATGGACTGCCATGATTGTTGGATACTTGAATGGTTTGAATAATGATGCAGTGGAGCTTTTCAGATTAATGGTTAGAGAGGGTCCTAAACCAAATAACTTCACTCTGGCAGCCATGCTGAGTGTCAGTTCAAGCTTGACTTCATTGAACCAAGGCAAGCAAATTCATGCAAGTGCAATAAGAACTAGGCAAGCATCTTCAGTTTCTGTGAACAATGCTCTAATGACCATGTATGTTAGATCTGGAAGTATTAATTGTGCACGGAAAGTATTTAATCAGATACATTGGTTCAAAGATATTGTATCTTGGACATCCATGATAATGGCTCTTGCTCAACATTGTCTTGGAGAAGAAGCCCTTGAGCATTTTGAAAAGTTGCCTTTGATATGATGAAAGATTTTCACAAAATTGAACCAACACCGAGCCATTATGCATTGATGGTTGACCTTGGACGAGCTGGATTGGTACAAGAGGCATATGACTTTATTGAAAAAATATCCATTGTACCAGATGTTATAACTTGGGGTTCTCTCTTATCTTCCTGTAAGGTGTATAAGAATGTAGAACTACGTAAGGTTGCAGCAGAAAGATTGCTCCTGATTGACCCCGGCAACAGTGGGGTTACTCAGCCCTAGCTAACTTGTATTCTGTTTGTGGAAAGTGGGAGGATGCTGCAAAAATCCGCAAATTAATGAAGGATGGAGGGGTTAAGAAAGAACAAGGAATTAGTTGGGTTCAGATAAAGAACAAAGTCCATGTCTTTGGAGCTGAGGATGGACTTCACCCACAGAAAGATGAAATCTACAAGATGATGACAAAGATATGGGAAGATATAAAAAAGATGGGCTTTGTTCCAGATACCGAATCAGTGTTACATGACCTTGAGGAGGAAGTAAAGGAGAAGATGCTTAGACATCATAGTGAGAAATTGGCCATTGCTTTTGCACTAATAAGTACTCCTGAGAACACCACTTTGAGGATCATGAAAGACCTCAGAGTCTGTAATGATTGCCACTCCAGCAATTAAATTTATATCCAAACACTCTGGCAGAGAAATTATTGTAAGAGATGCTACTCGTTTTTACCATTTCAAGGATGGTTTCTGTTCTTGCCGCGGCTATTGGTAATGGATACAGTTGGAAACAACTGACATATCAAAAGGTTCATTGTCAAAGAGGTTGATCGTGATGTTAAAAACTAGCGACACTCTCACCAGTGAAGTGAGTGCCAACCTAATAGACTTGGCTCAAGAGTATACACGATTGCATGGTTTAATATTTTGGGCTTATTGCGGCCTTTTAGCATGTAAAATGCTCGGTTGCAGTTGGCTTGCTTTTAAGGAAGGTAGAACAACCCATTCCTACAGTTGTACTATTTTGAGGTCTGGCACATTATTTAGATTTAAGAGTATACTCAAGCAAATGTCCTTCCGGAATCAATCTCCGCTGCACATAACAAATGGTAAACCTTCTCCTCTCCTTAAAATGTTTCAATCTTATTTGGGTTATGAACTTTTTTTATTCTTTTAAATAGTGAAGTATTCAGCATCTGTTATGTTGCAAAATAAAATATTGATAAATGATGCATTAAAAATATATCTGGTATTCTCATGATAAGTGGTCACCCTGCACAATAAGATTACTGTCCTTACCTTATTTTGTTTAACTTAGCATTTGACTTCTGCCTTTCATCATCACGATAAACAGTCACTTTCTAGCAAAAAGAGATTAATTAAATGTTGACCTTAATTTTTAATATTTTACTTTTTTAATAAAAAAATAATACATTTTATCATACTAAATGTGTGAATGATTCGGACGGCCAATTAAATTCCCTAAAAAATGATACCAAACACACAAAGTCACAAAGATGAAGCTGAAGAACTTTTTGAAGTACCAAATTTAAATCTGGTTATGTATAAATACAATGCGTCATAATCACGTTACATAGTTAACTTATAAATTGCTAACACCCTTTGCATCAGTGAATATATAATACAGACATTATACAATACAGCAGTATAAACTACAAAGAGGCAATTATGTGACGCTGACACCATTCTTACAATTACCTTTAACACACAGACCAATAATCAGAAAGAATCCGAGAAGCAACCATGGATAAACTTACAGCCTGATCACCAGTTGTTTCTCTCACGTGTGGCTTGCTTTGCAGCAACTTGTTCTTCCGAAAGAGGCAAATAGTAGATCTTAGGAGTTGCTTTGGTTTTCCAAAACAGGTCATCTAGTGTGACCATAGGAGAATCCGGTCCCTCTGAAGGCGGTGACGGAGGTGGAACTAGAAGCAGTTTTGCCGAAGACGGCGAAATATGTTGATGAGCTGAGGGTTGGGGCTGAGAAGTGAGTGCTTTAACTTCATGAGGATCCACAAATTCAGCCACCAATAGACGTCCACCATTGGTTGGCCACCGCAGGTTATAAAGGGCATTACGTGTCTCGATTGCTTCTTCCACAGATGAATACTGCATGAAAAATGGTGATTTCACAAATGCCGAAAACAAAAGGTTATAGGAGTTGGAAACAAAACATTTTCATGTCTTACAGTAACATAACAATGAGTCTTAATGTGGTCCATCCAGAAGCTTGTAACAGTCCCAGTTTTGCCTAAAAGTTGTTCCACAGCTTTCAAGGTAAAAGGACGAATGAAATTATCAACTCTGAGGGAAGTGGTCGGAGGCTTTTTTGAAGGTGGAACTACAAAAAGCCTTTTGAAGTTAACAAAACAATTGATAGGAAAGATTCCATGCACGTGTTTTTGAGGAGCATTTATATAGAACTTTACCGAAGTTCTTTCTTATATTTGATTGAGAAGCGAGAACTTACCATCTTGTTCCTTGGGCGTGGGCGTATCTTCACTATCTGCGGAGTCTGATGAAGATAAGTTGGATTGAGTTGGTGTAAGATTAGTGTCTTGCAGCTCTGAAACTTGTAAAGAATCAGAGTTGCACATTTGATTGAGAAGCGAGAACTTACCATCTTGTTCCTTGGGCGTGGGCGTATCTTCACTATCTGCGGAGTCTGATGAAGATAAGTTGGATTGAGTTGGTGTAAGATTAGTGGCTTGCAGCTCTGAAACTTGTAAAGAATCAGAGTTGCATTTGTGCCTTTTTGGAGGCTCGTTATTCTCAATAGCTTCTTCATCTGTAAAGAAAAACTAATATTGTGAGAATTGCCCCATTCATGAAAAGGTTACATTTACAATCCATTATCACTTACCTTGAAGCTTTCTTTTTGCAGAAGGAAATGAGGAATGGCTCTTATTCTCATCAAAGATGTCCTTTTTTTCATTTGATGAACCATCTCCTGCAACAAGAATATGATTTTCTAGCTCCTTGATAATAAGTGCTTCATTTTCCACACTGTCTTCTTCTATTTGCATGGTTTCAGGCAAATACTCCATAGAGTCATCACTAGAACTTCTATCCAAATTTAATTTTTCCGAGGACCCCATCTCTTCGCTGTCATCTTTATAGTTCATGTCTGTAGTTGTATCATTATTTTCATCTGTCTCATCAACAGATGCCATGTTCCTAAGTGGCTGTCCATCATCATCCTTTGGCTGTGATTCGTCATTATTTGGGACAACATTGCTGGATGAACATGGTTCGACCATCTCCAGTTTATCATCTTGGCTTAGTTTGACATTTTCATCAATTATATTATCCTGTAGTTCGATAGTTTCATTAATGGACATAGAGTCATTAGAAATAGAATCAGACTTTACTTGAAACCCTGAAACAGGGTTGATCTCAGGTCCCTGATTGTTCAAAGAAGAAGAGTCATGCATGTCATCCCCATTCTCTAACCGAGACTTGGGATCACTGGTCTCCACCTCTACCTTTAGACACTCATTTTCCACTTGGGACTTTCCATCTTGACACTCCATTTGGTTGTTAGAATTCACATTTTCTTCTGGTTTCGAGCTCTGCAAATGTTCCTCAATCAGTGGTACCTCAGTCACCACTTGTGGCTTTCCATCTTGACACTCCATTTCGGCGGTGTTAGAATTCACATTTTCTTCTTGTTTTGAGCTCTGCAAATGTTCTACAACCGGTGGTACCTTGGTTACCACAGGTTTATCTTCCTCCAACATGTCACTTTCATTAACTACATCACCTGATGCAGCCTCACAATCAGTAATATCTTCTTTAAACTTCAACCCACTACCCTTCTCAATCTCACTACCACCATGATCCACTACATCTTTAACTTTCTCATGCATGTCATCCTCATGATCCTCATCCCCTGGCTGAGCCACCGGATCATCACTCTCTGCCTCAAGCTTTCGATCTTGACTCTCGATTTGCATGTTGGAATTCACATTCTCTTCTTGTTTCGAGCTCTGCAAATGTTGTCCAATCAGTGGTACCTCGGGTATCATAGTGTCAACTCTCTGCCTCAAGCTTTCGATCTTGACTCTCGATTTGCATGTTGGAATTCACATTCTCTTCTTGTTTCGAGCTCTGCAAATGTTGTCCAATCAGTGGTACCTCGGGTATCATAGTGTCAACTTCAAGGGCCTGAATAACAGGCTTAGCTTCCACCAACATGCCCCTTTCTTCAACAACTCCATGACCTGAACCATTGGATGAATATGGTTCCACCATCTCCGACTTAACATTATTATTAACTATATTATCCTTCAGTACAGACTCTTCAGTAATTGGTATAGGATCAGTAGAAATTGAATCAGATTTCACTTGAAACCCCGAAATGGGGTTGATTTCATATACCTGATTGTTCATAGCAGAAGAGCCATACATGTCCTCCTCATTCTCCAACAGAGCCTTGGGACCCTCATTCTCAACTTGGGGCATTGGATCTTGACCTTCCATTTGCATGTTAGAATTCACATTCTCTTGTAGTTTCGAGATCTGAAAACGATGTCCAATCAATGACACCTCGGGTATCATAGTTTCAACTTCAATGGCCTGAATAACAGGCTCATCTTCCACCAACACGTCCCTTACTTCAACAACTCCATGACCTAAACCATTGAATGAACATGGTTCCACCATCTCGGACTTAACATTATCATCAACTATATTATCCTTTAGTACAGTCTTTTGAGTATTTAGCACAGGACCAGTAGAAATAGAATCAGATTTCACTTGAAGTCCTGAAATAGGGCTGATTTCAGATACCTGATTGTTTAAAGCATAAGAGTCATGCATCTCATCCTCATTCTCCAACTGAACCTTGGGACCCTCATTCTCAACTCGGGGCATTGGATCTTGACACTCTATTTGCATGTTGGAATTCACATTCTCTTCATGTCTCGAGCTCTGCATCAATGGTACCTGCAGTATCATGGTTTTAACTTCAGTAGCCTGAATAACAGGCTCATCTTCGAACAACATGTCCCTTTCGTCAATAGCCTGAATAACAGGCTCATCTTCCACCATGTCCCTTTCTTCAACAACTCCTTGTCCTGAAACATTGGATGAATATGGTTCCTCCATCTCCGACTTAACATTATCATCAACTATATTATCCTTTAGTTCAGTTTTTTTAGTAATTGACATATGATCAGTTTTCACTTGACACCCTGAAATAAGGCTGATTTCAGATACCTGATTGTTCATAGAAGAAGAGCCATGTATGTCATCCTCCAACTGAGCCTTGGGACCCTTATTCTCAACTTGGGGCATTGGATCTTGGCACTCCATTTCCATGTTGGAATTCATATTCTCTTCTTGTTTCGAGCTCTGCAAATTTTGTACAATCAATGGAACCTCGGGTATCATAGTTTTAACCTCAGTGGCCTGAATAAAAGTCTCATCTTCCACCAAAATGTCCCTTCCTTCAACAACTCCATGACCTGAACCATTAGATGAATATGGTTCCACCATCTCCGACTTAACATTATCATCAACTATATTATACTTTAGCTCAGTCTTTTCAGTGATTGACATAGGATCAGTGGAAATAGAATCAGGTTTCACTTGAAACCCTGAAATAGGGCTAATTTCAGATACCTGATTGTTCATAGCAGAAGAGCCATGCATGTCTTCCTCATTCTCCAACTGAGCCTTGAGACCCTCATTCTCAACTCGGAGCATTGGATCTCGACACTCTAGTTCCAGTTCCATCGAGCTATGCAAATTCTGTCCATTCAGTGGAACCTCGGGTATCGAAGTTTTAACTTCAGTGGCCTGAATAACAGGCTCATCTTCCACCACCATGTCCCTTTCTTCAGCAACTCCATGACCTGAACCATTGGATGAATCCAGTTCCACCGTCTCTGGGATAACAAAATCTACTCTTATTTTGACATCATAGTCAGTCTTATTATTATTTTGTCCATTCTTCTCAGTAACTGACATAGAATTAGTAGAAACAGAATCATTCTTTTCATCTCTCTCATTAAGCTTTGTACCCTCATTCTCAACAGGGGGCTCTGGATCTTGACACTCCGTATGCATGTTAGAATTCGCATCCTCCTTTAGTTTCGAGCTCTGCAAATGTTCTGGTTCCACCAATACGTCCCTTTGATCAACTACACCATGACCCGGAGCAGCCGCAGAATCAGTATTATCACCCTTAAGCTTCAACCCATCATGATCCACTACTTCTTTGACCTTATCGGCAATAGTTGGTGTTGCTTTTTCAACTACAGGCTCAGAATTATCATTATGAAAACTATCATCTGCTTCATTTGCAGCTTCTGCCCTTTCGGCTCTAACTGCTGCGTCTAAGCGTTTTACCAAATCCTTTTTCAAGCCACGAGTTGTCAAATGCCGTCGCTTGAGTTCTTCTTTTAACTCCACAACCTTCCATTTATCGATGGGTCGATTATGGAGTATTTCGAACTTTGATGACATATTTCAATACCTATTTCAAAACACTATATTCTTCGGTCATTCGCTGGAAAAAGAAAGGGAAAAAACATAAGATTATATGGAAACATTAGAAACTATAAAAATGAAGTTCAATCTTACTTTTGAAAATGAGTTCAATGAAAATATGTAAATATATTTTACAAACGAATGGAAGTTATAAAAATTATACTCTTTTCTCAAAATTATTTAAAAATATTATACTCATCTTTTTTCAATTAAGATGATAAGTCATAAAAATATTATATTTTTTATTTATAACTTAATTTTGTAGATTATAAATTAAAAAAAATAAAAGAAAGGTTAATGTACAATAGTATTTATATTTATTAATATTATTGTATATGTTAATTCATTTGGCTCATTTTTACTTCCCCCTTTTTTCATCTTTTATATGGTAAATTTTAGCGAGGAAAGGAGATTAAGATAATTTAAATAATATTATAGATACTATATGCATATATATATATATATATATATATATTGACAAAGCAAATCAGTTTATGAGAAATCACGTCAAAAACATATTTCATGCAAATCGTAATATTTTCCTGGCAATTAATCATCGTAATTGGTCCTCCAGCAAAATTACGTGAAAATGGTATAGAGATAAAAGAAAGATTAAAGTACTCACAGGATTTAAAATTTAGGAACCCACGCTTTCCTTGAGGAAGAAGAAGAAGATTACGTGAAAATCTTAATTTCAATGCATGAATACCCGCCTTTAGAGAAAACCCTAGTTTTCAACAAAGGCGATATTATGTAAAACAAGGGAGAAGAAAATTAACAAAATAATAATAAAAGAGTTTTGTTCGTGAGATATAATTAGGTTTTATTGTTCTGATAACTTTAGCCATAAATGATGGAAGCAAATAAATGGTTTTTTAATAATAATAAAAAAAACAGGATGTCTGATAATATCGAATTAAAAAAATGAGGGGTCAAGTTTTGTCTTTCTTAAATTCTAATTTTGGCTTTTGTTTTAAACTCGTGCAAATCGTCTATCTTTAATCCACCATTATAATCTAAATAAATAATCATCACTTCTTCTTTATCTCATCCTTTTATTCCCCAATATTAAGTATTAAATCCCCATGTTTTTTATATGTTCTTTCTTTGGTTCACCATTATAATTCGTCTTAAGCATTAATCATTTTCAATTGTGTCAAATAGAGGAAATTCTCATATATCACAAATCATCAAATATATTTTTCAATGAAATTTTGTTGGTTAAGAAAAAAAAAACAAGAAATATAAAAATATATAATAAGAAAATAATAAATTTGAAAGAAATTTAAAATTTTGTATTAATTTTAAATCTTGATTATAATGGTGAACCAAAGAAAGAGCATAACAAAACATGGAATTTTATGCTTAAGTATGAGGAATAAAAGGAAAATATAAAGAAGAAGTGGTGATTTTTAATTTAGATTATAATGGTGGATTAAAGAAAGAGTAGAGCAAAACATGAGATTTGATGCTTTAAGATTAGGAAGAAGATGATTGAATAAAAAAGAAGGTGATTTGAAAATTTTAATTTTAAGGAAATATGATGTGGAAAAAATGTGATGTGTACTCATTTAATTGGCTAAGGATCATGGATGAGGTGGTGGAAAGGATTCATGTAACAATTTCTCGGTGGAAATGATTCATGTAATAATTTCTCTCTCATAGCTCCTAAACGTTCCTTTTAGTAACTCTTTATCCCCATCAATAATTTATCTGCATCAACCATTGTTGAGTCGTTATGAGTCACCATCTCCTACTCATTAGAGAGTTTTTTTTCATTCTTCCCATAACAAGATCACCAAGAACACTACAACAGAATATGACTATAGCGGCGTTTTTAAGCGCCGTAAAAAAGCTTCTCGGCAGAAATAAAAGCATCGGAATATGTTCGTACTTTTAGCGGTATTTTTTGTATAAACATCGTAACATATTTGATATTTAGCGACATTTTTTGTATAAATGTCGCAATAGATTATGACATTTAACGATGTTTTTTTGTATAAACGCTGCAATAGGTTATGATATTTGGCGGTTTTTTTGTATAAACACCGCAATAGGTTATGATATTTGGCGGAATTTTTGTATAAATGCTGCAATAGGCTATGATATTTGGCGGCATTTTTTTTGTATAAATACCGAAATAGGTTATAATATTTAGCGGTGTTTTTTGTATAAACGTCGCAACATGTTATGATATTTAGTGGTGTTTTTATATAAACGCCGCAACTGTGTACTCTTTTAGTGGCATTTTTCATCCTTAAACGCCGCTAATCGAGGTTGATTTACAAATGTTCGTTTTATACTCTTTATTTCCCAAATTTAAAATATCCTATAACAATTAATATCCAATAACAACCTTGATACGTCTCGAATTAAGTACTTAACAACAAAAATAAATAAAGTTGACAAACCATTCAAGTAATGTAGTTCTAACATTAAGTCAAATGTAATATAATTCATCATTAAGTGAAATGTATTAGTTCAACAACTATAATAAACAGTGCATGAACCTAAGAAATCACGTTGTGTGGTG